CTGGAGTTCCGTGAGGCTCTGGGTCCTGGTGTGATGGGCGGTCCTGGTGCAGGACAGGGGGGATGCTCTTTGGGGTATGGTGCTGTCACACACAGGGGGACGAGCCAGTGATGGGAGGGGACAAACGAGCAGTGAGAGGTGGCACTGGGTGAGCTCAGTCTCAGTGCCTCAGTTTCCTCTTCTGGTTATTTTGGAGCCAAAGCTGGGAGGAGGGTGGGCTGCAGGCACAGAGACATGGCCTTGACCCCTGCTGGGGACAGGACACCGGCCACATGATGGGGACACAGCCAGGAGGGGTGAGATGGGGCATCCTGCCCTTCGCTGGGGTTGTAAATAGTTGTAGGGGAGGAGTGCAGGGGTGGCCAGGTGTCCCCCCTTCCCACAGCCTGCAGCACGCCCAAATAAACACTGGCTTTGGGACAGATGCCTGTGTGTGCTCTGTTGGGGACAGGGACATCGCTGAGCTCTGGGGGTGGGATCCAGGAGAGCACATGGTGGGGTGCTGGGAACACCGCAGGGTGATGGAGGGGACTCTGGGCACGGCGACATGACGCAGGAGGCCATGGTGGGCGCTATGGGGGCACTCAGAGTTGCCACTGGGGGCATTGCAGTCACTACCGGGGGGACTGCGGTCAGGCATGGCCAGACTAGGGACAGCAGTGGGGGTACTGGAGGCAGTACTGATAGCACTGGGGGGATGGTACAGCTCTGTGCTGGTCTCTGCTGGACTGTTCTGGTCTGTACTGGTCTGTACTGGGCTGTGCTGGTCTGTACTGGTCTGTGCTGGTCTGTACTGGTCTGTGCTGGTCTGTACTGGGCTGTGCTGGTCTGTGCTGGTCTGTACTGGTCTGTACTGGGCTGTGCTGGGCTGTACTGGGCTGTACTGGGTTGTGCTGGTCTGTATTGGGCTGTGCTGGTCTGTACTGGACTGTTCTGGGCTGTGCTGGTCTGTACTGGTCTGTACTGGGCTGTACTGGGTTGAGCTGGTCTTCGCAGAGCTGTGCTGCGCTATGCTGGGTCGCTCTGCCCTCTGGCGGCCAGACTCGGCACTGCAGGAGCCCCGCGGAGAAGGCGGGGGGGCACAGGGGACAGCGTAGGATGCTGGGGCTGGGGGACGGGGGCTGTACTGGTGGACACGGGGCTCTGGGACACGGGGGTGCTTTGGTGGCAATGGGGATACACTGTGGGGGACACTGCCGGGGGGCGGGACGTGGGGTGTCCTTGGTGGTGTGGAGTGAGTCCTAGGGACGCCGGGGAGCTGGGGCAAGGAGCACTGAGAGGAGCTAGGGACATTATGAGGGTCTTGGAAAGGGCTTGGGACATGGGAGTGGGGATGACACTTGGGGTACAATGACATCAGACAGGGGTTCTTGAGGGTACAACATGGGATGGTTCACATGGGGGATGTGGGGATGGCGGGGAACATCCCCACTACAGGGGCATACCCATGGCTTGGGAGCAGCAGGGACATCCCTGGAGTGAGGCCATACCCATGGCTGGGAACTGTGGGGACATCCCTGCCAAGGGGCATAGCCACAGCCTGGGGACATTGGGCCACCAAGTCTGGGCGGGGACAGCTGGGCGCCCTCTCCGCAGAAGCGCTGACGCCGGGAGCCAGGGGATTGCTGAGCTCAGCCCGGGGCAGATTTCGGGGCTTTATCCGGAGCCTGGCTTAAGCCGCGCTCCTTGTCCCTGTCCTTGGCCCACTTGGGTGGCAGCGGCGGCCGCAGTCGGGCGGTGGGCGAGCGCTGGAGGCGGCGGGGGGCTGGCGCACGCTGCCCGTCCTGGTGCTGACCTCCACCGAGCGGGCGAGTCGGCAGGCGGCAGAGGCGAGGATGGGCGCAGGGGCCAGTGCTGAGGAGAAGCACTCCCGTGAGCTGGAGAAGAAGCTGAAGGAGGACGCTGAGAAGGATGCCAGGACCGTCAAGCTGCTGCTGCTGGGTAGGTGGGCACAGCTCCGGGGGATGCTTGAACCTCCCCCCGTGGCATCCTCATGCTCCAAAACCCAGTAGCTGCTCAGACTCCTCAGTACCCCTGAAACTCACCCCATCCAACACCCCCACAGCACCAAGCACCCCAACTCTGCCCCAGCACCCCCAGATCCCTCCATGTTCCCCCTAGAAGCTGCCCTTGCATCCTCCCAGCACTGCACGTCCCTCTCCCAGTGCCCCCCAGTTCCCCTACTGTTACCCCATGCCCAGGCCCTGGCCACATCCCCCTGCAATACCCCACTTTTGTGTCCCCATCTCCACCGCATCCTCATCTTCATCCCCACCTCCAGATCCCCCAGCACACCCTTGACTGAGCCCCCAGCAGCACTACCCCAGTGCCCCTCAGACCTAGCTGCCTCTCTCCCTGTTTCCTCATGTCCCCCTGTGGTGATCACGGCTGTGGTCACCACTGTGCCCTCACTCTGTCCCCGCAGGAGCAGGGGAGTCAGGGAAAAGCACCATCGTCAAGCAGATGAAGTAAGTCCCATGGGCAGCACCGTGCCTCCTACCTGTCCCATACCACAGCCAGGGGAGCATCCACCCCTCAGTGCCCACACTGCAGCAACGGGTTCCTCTGCTTTATTTTCTAGCTCCATAAATGCCCCCACCCTATAGTTTAGCTGCATGGGTACCCCCATCCTATAGTTCAGCCCCATGGGTTCTCCCATCCTATAGTTCAACCCCAAGAGTGTCCCTACTCTACAGTTCAGCTCCATGGAAGTCACCACTCTATTATCAACCTGCATGGGTACCCCTACTCACCAGTTCAGTGCCCACAAGTGCCCCTACCCTATAACTCAGCCCCATGAGTGCCCTCAGCACCCCACTCAGCCCCATGCCCCCATCTTGGCCAGGATCATCCACCAGGATGGTTACTCACTGGAGGAGTGCTTGGAGTTCATCGCCATCATCTACAGCAACACACTGCAGTCCATGCTGGCCATCGTGCGTGCCATGAGCACGCTCAACATCCAGTACGGTGATTCAGCCCGCCAGGTGAGGGGCCCCCAGCACAGGGTGCGGAGCTGTACCCTGGTCCCTGTCCCCACTGAGCCCCCATCCCTTGCAGGATGATGCCCGCAAGCTGCTGCACCTCTCGGACACCATTGAGGAGGGCACCATGCCTAAGGAAATGTCGGACATCATCGGGCGGCTCTGGAAGGATGCAGGCATCCAGGCCTGCTTTGACCGGGCCTCTGAATACCAGCTCAACGACTCGGCAGGATAGTAGGTGCAGGATGGGTAGGTGGGTGGGGGCACCCTTGGTGGGACATGCCTCACACTGTGCCCACCAGCTACCTGTCGGACCTGGAGCGCCTGGTGACCCCTGGCTACGTCCCCACCGAGCAGGATGTGCTGCGCTCCCGTGTCAAAACCACCGGCATCATCGAAACCCAGTTCTCCTTCAAGGACCTCAACTTCAGGTAGGGGCTGAGCCCCAGAGTGCTGGGGCAGGGGGCGTGGGGGGGATGCTGAGCCCCCTGGTCCTGCCCTGCAGGATGTTCGATGTGGGAGGACAGCGCTCGGAGCGCAAGAAGTGGATCCACTGCTTCGAGGGGGTGACGTGCATCATCTTCATCGCGGCGCTCAGCGCCTACGACATGGTGCTGGTGGAGGATGACGAAGTGGTAGGCAGCCGTGCCAAGGGGTACCAGGGAGCTGGGGAGCTGCGGGGGGGCTGATGGGGCTGTGTCCTCCCACAGAACCGCATGCACGAGAGCCTGCACCTCTTCAACAGCATCTGCAACCACCGCTACTTCGCCACCACCTCTATTGTCCTCTTCCTCAACAAGAAGGACGTCTTTCTGGAGAAGATCAAGAAGGCTCACCTCAGCATCTGCTTCCCTGACTACGATGGTGAGGGCAGTCACGCTCAGCCCCGGGTGAGGAATTTGGGTGCTAGCATCCTTTGTGAGACACCCACCAGGTGTCCCCAGCACCCTAAGCACCCAGCCAAAGGTCTGAGCTGTGGGGTGATGGGAGGGGAATACAGGGGCTGTGGGGTGCTGGGGACCCACGGCCCTGCTTGTAGGTCCCAACACCTATGATGATGCTGGCAACTACATCAAGCTGCAGTTCCTGGAGCTGAACATGCGGCGGGACGTGAAGGAGATCTACTCGCACATGACCTGTGCCACTGATACTGAGAACGTCAAGTTCGTCTTCGACGCCGTCACCGACATCATCATCAAAGAGAACCTCAAGGACTGTGGGCTCTTCTGAGCTCCAGCCCCTACAGCCCCCACCACAGCCCCCACCCCCGACTGGTGCCCCTGCCCACCCTCTGCCACCGCTTCTGCTTGCTCCCAAACCCCAGCAACGTGACCTGCGCAGCTCCAGAGCATCCCCCCAGCCAGCCCCCAACCTGCATGCACCCCTGGGTGCTGGGGGGCACTGGGTGACACCTGAAGTCCTGAGGCATCCCTTAGTGCTGAGGGGTGCTGGATCCCCCTGGGGACCACGGGATGCCCAGGGAATAGCACCATCGCACCATGATGGCATCCCCAGGTGAGTGCCAGCCTGCAAGGGACCCACCCCCCCCCAGTGGACACCCAGAGGGGGCTCTGAGCCCACACGTCCCAGTTCACATGCAAAGAGGACCTCAGACTGCTGCCAAGCCTCTCCTACTTCCTCCCCAGACACCCACAGAGCAGGAAAAAAACCAGCCACATCACCCCCCACATTGATGCAGAGGGTGTGGAGGGGTCATTCTTTTTCTTTTTTTTTTTTTTTCCTTTCTACATTTTATTATCTCAAATCACGTGAACAATTCGGAAAAAACATCCCGTGGGAAAAGCAGGAGCTGAGAGAGAGAGGGGGGAGGGAGGGCAGCTCCGTACAGCAGGGTCTGCCCCCCGGCACAGCTAGCCCTACCTGCTAGGCCCTACTAGAGAGGGGCAGGGGGGCACCAGCCCTCTCCCCCCAGCCCGGCGCCAGACAAAGGGGACCCCCCTGCAAGGCACACGGTTTCGGCATTACCTGCACGAAGACGACGCGACCACTTAGCACTTGACGCTTTTAAATAGTTTCTTAAAAAGGTTTCTTTAAAAAGCAACGTAAACCAAGCTTGGTGTGTGTGTGTGTGTGTGTAGGTGGGTGTATGTGTGTGTGTGTGGCCTTTTTTTTTTTTTTTTTTTTTCTTTTCTGGTTATTAAAAGGAATGTTTTCGGTCGTGTTTCTGGGGGGGTCCCATCGCCGGCCCCTGCGATGCCAGGAGCGCTGCACCCCCTGCGAACACGTTTTGGATGTAAACGGTGTGGAACCGAATAAAAAGGAGAGACTGGGGAGATGGCGACCGGTTACAAACCAAGAGAGAAATCCTCCTGTCCCCGGCCTGGAAGGCAAAGGGGTGCGGGGGGACACCAGAGGCAAATGGGGACAGCCCTGGGTCAGGCCTTGCAGGCAGTGCGTCCCCATCGCTGCCACCACGGCCGTCACCAAAACGTCTCTTTAGAGGGTTGGGGGATGAAACCAGAGGAGAAGCAGAATCACCGGGCACGGTCCTCTCTTCATCGGTGCGCCCTAGGAGAGAGCAAGCCGTGAGCGGGATGGGTACGGGGTGAGGAGGGGTGGTGGGCAGCAGGATGGGGATGGCACTCGCGGGTCTTGGAGGGGCCCTGTGCCCACCTTGCCGCCCTCAGAAGAGCCCGCAGTCCTTCAGATTGTTTTTGATGATGACGTCAGTGACGGCATCAAAGACAAACTGCACGTTCTTGGTGTCGGTGGCACAGGTGAAGTGTGTGTAGATCTCCTTGGTGTCCTTCCGCTTGTTCAGGTCCTCGAACTTGCTCTGGATGTAGCCAGCGGCCTCATCGTACTTGTTGGCACCTGGGGAGGGAGAGATGATGCTGGGGATGTGCCACGGCCCCCCAGGCCCCAAAGCCTCCCACAGAACTGCCTCACTAATCTAGCCAAGTGGTCATGCAGGGATACAGCTCATCTAAATGCCACCAGCCCAAGTACCATGGCAGGGCAGAGTAACCACCATGCTCACAAAGTGCACAGTGCAGCCCCAGGGCTCCCTCTTTGCCATCCCCACCTCAGCCTCCACGGCTTCCTAAGCCTCTTATTCTTCTCATCACTTCTGCTTTATCCACACATCGCCTTAAGAGCATGTCCAGGTGCAGCCTGGGCATCCCATAAGCCTTAAATTATGGCTGCTCCTGACCCAGCTGCTCCACTCCTTTCCAAGCCCTCCCTTGTCCCCACAGCACCCCAAACTCCAAAGTGCAATGGGCAACCCTCTGCCCCAAGCTGCACTACATTCAAAGTGCAATGACCACTGCAGGACCCACACCTCAGGGCCACCCAACCAGTCCTAAGGATTCCCTGCAAAGAGTCCCAGAGGTTGCTGAAACAGGGACCCCGCACTCAGAGCCACTGTTCCCACTGCCATTCTCCCCTGGAACCCCAAGGCAAGGGGATGCAGCAGATGAAGCCCAGAAAGGGCCAGCACATGTGCACCTGTGTACTCCGGGAAGCAGATGGTCAGGGGGCTGTGCACAATCTTCTCCTCGAAGAGGTCCTTCTTGTTGAGGAAGAGGATGATGGACGTATCTGTGAACCACTTGTTGTTGCAGATGCTGTCAAACAGCTTCATGCTCTCGTGCATCCGGTTCTATGAGAGGAAGGGCACGGCATCAGGCAGGTGGTGCTGCCACTCCATGAGCCACTGGCCTTGGAACCAGGCACTGGGCACCCCATACTGCTGCACCAAGCCAGCAGCCACCACAGCGGGGTAGTGTGTCACTGCCAGCAGCGTGGGGTAGGGATCCCCTGGAGCACCCTAAACCTGAACTTCCACCCCCTCGCTCACCATCTCCTCGTCTTCTGCCAGCACCAGGTCGTAGGCACTCAGGGCCACGCAGAAAATGATGGCTGTCACCCCCTCGAAGCAGTGGATCCACTTCTTCCTCTCTGAGCGCTGGCCGCCCACATCGAACATCCTGCAGGGCAATGGCAGCCTGGGTCAACAGCACCCCAACTCCTGCACCTCCAGCCCTGCCTCATTTCCCCCAGCAGAGCTGGGTGATGCCTCCCCACTGAAGTGCTGCCATCGTGTACCACCAGTGCTGGGCCGGGGATGCACAGATGGGATTATGGAGGATAATGTGAGCCATGTGTCTCTCCCTCTGTGGGCACCAGAGGATGCCCAGGCTCCACAGAGCACCACATCCTCAGGGATGGATTTTCCTGACTCCTGTCCCTCCGCTCGCCTGCTGGGGAGGCTCTGCCACTGTTGTGTCCCCCAGGGCCACCCTGCCCACCCCTGCCACAACCTCCAAAGCCCTGGGTGAGCACAGAGAGGTGCTGTGCAGCCTTGCTTGGCCAACCCCGACCTCCACCACCAGCAGCCGCTCAGCACCAGGCTGGCGTGCCGAGGGTTTGCAGCCAGACCTACTTGAAGTGCAGGTCCTTGAAGGTGAAGTGGGTCTCCACGATGCCGGTGGTCTTCACCCGGGTGCGCAGCACGTCCTGCTGGGTGGGGATGTAGTCGGCCCGCGCTATCCTTTCCAGGTCGTTCAGGTAGCTGGAGAGGAGGGCAGGACGGCATCAGGTTGGGGGGGGGAATGCTAGTGCTGAGCCAAGACACCAAGCCAGGTGTCTCCATGAGACCCCAGCACCGGTGACACAGGGCCTGCAGAGCCCAGCAGGTGACGTGGCCCAAGGGACCGTGCCCACACCGCCATGACGCTCCCAGCCCAGGGAAACGGAAGGAGGAAAGCATTCATCACCACGACAACGGGCTGCGGCCCAGCGGAAACCGCTGCTGGCACTGTGCCTCCGCAGTCACACGCACACAAAGGGCCGGTCCTGCAGGAAGCGGCGCAGGGCTCGGCCACGGACAGCCTGTGCCCCCAGCAGCTGTAATCAGCACGGCTCCAGTTAATTGGGTTACTGTAAGCAGGCCGCCCTCTGCACGGGGCTGTAATCCGGAGAGAGCCGTGCCGATGGAACGCGGGGACGCGGCTATGGGAGACGCCGAGCGTTGGACGTGGAGACCCCAGGCAGGGCGTGGGGCAGCAGGCGGTGACACGGCCGGACCACACCTCCACAGCGAGCTCAAAAACAGCCGGAAATCAGCCGGCTCACGGCTGCCACAAAAACAGGAAGCGAGCGGTGGGGAGGCAGGGCCGGGCTGGGCTCGGACCTCGGCCTCGGTGTCAGCGAGGGGAAGGCACACGGCTCCCCATCCATCACCCGGGCACAGCGCAGGGCATCGCCCCGGCCGCTGGATGCGGGCACTGAGCAACGCTTGTCCTTTGTGCTGCTGGGACAGCCAGAGGGATGCCCTTCCCAAAAGGCATCACCGCTCCATGTGGGACCACAACGCACACCAGGCTCCAAAAGCTCACAGCTGAGCTCCTCCGGCAGCCACTTTCAGGCATCGTTTTCCCAATGCAGAAAAGCGATCATGCTTTAGGCAGATTAACTTATTTATTAAATCTTGTTGGGGATAAACCGAACCAGATGCAGGCAATTTACTTCTCCAAGCACTAGCTTGCCAGCTCTTACGCCAGCAGAATGCCGATTTCTGCCATATAAACTCATTTGAAAACGATAAAACAACAAAGCAAGCGATCTTGAGTGCTACGCTCAGAACAAGCATCCCCATTTTTTATTGGGGATATTTCCCTGCATGGATAGGACAAGGAGGAATGGCATCATGCTCAAAGAAGTGAGATGTAGGTGAGATGTTAGGGGGAAATCCTTTGCTCAGAGGGTGGTGAGGCGCTGGCACTGCTGCCCAGAGCTGTAGGTGCCATTCCTGGAGGTGCCCCAGGCCATGGAGGAGTCCTGGGCAGCCTGGGCTGGGGGGCAGCCAGACCATGGCAGGGATGGGGCTGGATGATCTTTAAGGACCCTCCAACCTAAGCCATTCTATGATTCTATGATACACACTCCCCATTCAGACAAGCATTCATGGGGCTGGGGTCAAGAGCTGCCTGCAGTCCCCATCAATCCTGCTCATTGAACCAATCAGGGGGGAAAAAATAAATAAGTAAAAGGAAAAAAACTACACAGAAAGAAATCCAGCGCCAGTTATCTTCTTGCAAGAGGAAAACAGCATCCATGCAAAGAAGACCCATGCCCAGCATGGAGGGGCTCCTGCCTTTAAAGAGGGTCCCAGCTTGGATGCTGCACACCTGAAGGAGCACTGCCCTGATGCTAACGTCACAGAACAGCTCCATAGCATAGTAACAGGTTGAGGAGGAAAAGGAGGAGGAGGAATGTACTCACTAGGCAGCAGAGTCATTCAGCTGGTATTCACGGGAGCGATTGAAGCAGGCCTGGACCCCGTGGTCAGCCCACAGCCTCCGGATGACGTTGGCGAGGTCTTCAGGCATGATGCCCTGCTCCTCTGCGGTGCAGGCGAGCGCAAAGAGCTGGCGGGCATCATCCTGCAGCAGAACCAGGCATCAGTCCCATGAGCCACAGCGATTCCCACCAACCCATCACAGATGCCCATAGAAAAACAAACAAACAAACACAGGAATGGCAAAAATCACCTTTCCTAGCTCAGGAAACTCACAACTTTCCTCCCCGCTCCCACCAGTCATCCTTTGGGTTTTTCCTGCCTTAGGAGGTCCCAGAGTGTGGGACAGCAGAAGGGATTGGGCAAGGCCACCTAAGGCCTGGTCCTGCTTTGGAAGGCTCTGCTCCCAGAAGGAATATGAACACAGCAGGCACACAGAGACACGCACCGCTCTGGAGGAGTCCCCAAAGTCGATCTGCAGGTTCCCCATAGCCTTGATGATGGCCATGATGGACTGGATGGTGTTGCTGTAGACCACGGCTTTGTATTGCCGGCACTCCTCCTCTGAGTAGCCATCTTCGTGGATGATCCTGGGCACAGGGGACAAGGTCAGCATGCCCTGCTCACAGTGCCACCAGCCTTGCTGCCACCTCCCTGCCAGGTGTTTGCTTTCACTATGTCTCTCTGTTGCCAGTGTAACCACAGGCATCCGAGCTCAACTCCCCTTCCACTGACAGCTGATGAAATATTCATGCCCTGGAGAGCACCCAGCCTGTGGGAGCTGGGCAGCAGGAACACGGGGACGCATGTGATAACAGAAATCCCATCGGCAGCACCCCAGCCCTTCTCAAGGCACTTTTAGCCACCACAGCACCATCCTGCGCATCCCAGGAGCCCAACCCCAATGCCATTGTGCCCAGATGTCCCCAGCACCGCTGCAGGGACAGGGCAGGTCCCTGTGATACTCACTTCATCTGTTTGACAATGGTGCTCTTCCCGGACTCCCCAGCACCTGTGGAAGAAGTAAGGCATCAGCTACAGCCTAGGGTTGCCACCATGGGGTGGGCCAAAATGGAGAAAACCCAATGGGCTTCTAAAGCAGCAGGTGGGGACAGAGCCCAGAGCAGGGCAGTGCCACAGCACCCAGGGGTTTCTTCATGGCTGGGAAAAACCCAGACAGCTTCAGCAACATGTCAGCCCCGTGGCAGTGCTGCTGTCACCCCAGGCGTTGGGGATGCACCACCCTGGCAGGCTGTGCGCATCTGTCGCTCCCTCCCTCCCTCCCTCCCTCCCCATGCTGGGAGGGAGGAAGGAGTGAGGTCACCCGGCTGCAGAAAGGGGAAGCAGAAAGGGGAAGCTCAGAGGGACACGGCCCATCCCTTGTCCCTCCTCTGCACAGGGACAACAGCCTGGAGCAAACCCTCAACACAGGAGCTCCAAGCAGTGCTGTTTAGGGATACCACATCCCAAAGCACGGCACTTTGTGCGTTCTCTTCCATCCATCCCTGTGGTCTCTCTCTTTGGCCACACTCCATGCCAGCCCCATCCCCTCAACCCACACAGCACCACAGAGGTGTCGGACAGTCCTCATGTGCCCAAGGTGTGTGCACCGCCACATCCCTAAAGCAGAGCCACCCTTATAGGGGCCCCCAGGCAGGTCATGGCAGGGGTGCTGCACTCCAGCCACAGAGGGGGAAGAGGAGCTCAAAAAAAAAATGGAGATTATGCTAAAATTAACCTGCAGGAGCACAGCCTGAGCTTGCAGCCAAGGCACAGCAGCAGGGACATCACCATCTGTGTGGTGATGCCAGGTACCCCATGGAAGCAGCAAGGGTCACAGCCCCATACCCTGCAGGCAGAGTGTCCCCCTGTCCCCAGCCTGCGCTGTGAGGAGCTGCATGCCCCAGGCAGGACCCAGCATGCACCCGCAGCATCTTTCTCTGGTTATGGGACTCGGCGGATGACACGTGTTTCTCATTTGGCCCAAAATATATGATTTGGCTGGAACCTCGCAGGCTTGACCCGACGGAAATAAAACTGCGCTCAGCTCGGTGAGGTGGATCGGGTTTCTCGCTTTCTTTCCACCCAGAGCTTCCCCTGCCTCCTTTGGAAAAGGAGCCCTGCAGCCAGCCACGCCATGTGGAAAATTGCTGCTCGCAGCAGGGGCAGCGCTTGGCCCCATAGAACCACAACTGCACGAAGGGCAGTGAGAACCACTGCAGTGCCAGCCCCGTGCCACCTCCACCTTGGAAGCTGTGACAGCAGGCACCATGCACAGTCCACACTGACCCCGAGCATCTCCAAAGCACATCCCTGCCCAGCACATCATCCCAGCCCACAGAGCCGTCCCCATGGCTCCCCACCACTCTCCTAGCCCTACGGCACTGTTAATGGGGTGCAGGCGTGACCCCCAGCCCGCTGCGGGAGCCTGCTGGGAGGAGCGTGGGCGCGCACGTGCGGAGCTGCGGCCTCTAAACCCTGCATTGAGTCACAGTAGCTGCAGGGAAGGCATTTTTTCCTTTCATAATCCCTGTTTAGCAGGAGTGCTCTGGTACCTCACTAGCTCTAATAACCCCAGCCGGAGCGGTGCCACCCAGCAGCACCCGGAGCAGCAGATCCCAGCCCAGCACAGCCAGGCAGCGATGTGGCACGGGCGCAGCCCTACAGGCACATGCAGCAGCTGGGAGCGCAGCCACCAGCCTGCCATGCCATCTCCCTTCCAAATCTGCTCCTTTGCCTCATGGCAAGGCCACCAGAATGGTCATGGGTGGCATGGGGATGCGAATAATGGGGGAGAGAACGTGGTGTTCAGGGAAGCCAGGGGACAACCATTACTGGGCTGGGGGGAAGCTCCCAATCCCCGGAACACACCAGCTACCGGCCATTCAGCCCCGACACAATCCATAGGCTGAGTGCCAGGCAGCATGAGCTTCCGGAGCAGGACAGCTTCCCACTGCTGGGCAGGACACAGTGCTCTAAGGCTGGGGCTGTGGCCCTGAACCCCAAAGCATCACTCTTATCTGTCCCAAAGGGCCAGGTCTCAATGAGGCACGGAGCCCAGGGCCCCAGGGATGCAACCACGCTTCTTCCCAGACCATACTACAAAAATAGGAAACAATCACCATCATCCACAGGGGGACAGAGGGGCTGGGGATGTGCCCCCATGCTGAGAGGTGGCAAGGAGGGATGGGGTTGGCTGGGACAGACCCAAGGCACCAGCCATGTCCCAGCCACCAAATGGAGTTTCCAAAGCACTGCACCAATAGCTGGGTGAAAAAGACTCCAGAATAAAAGCGGGGGGAGGGGAGGGAGAAGAAAAAAAAAAAAAAAAAGATTCCCCTCCACATTTTCCTTCCTATCTAAAATAGCTGGAAAATTGCTTTAAAAATAATTGCATGTAAGAAAAAAAAAAAAAAACCCACAGCAACGCCACGTGTTTTTCCAAGCGGCCGTCTGCCTCGACACAGAGCTGGCTGCCCTCCAGCAGCACCCGGGGCTGCCCAGGCTGCAGGGTGGGTGCAGACCCCATGTGGGGACGGGCACATAGGAACAGCCCCCCTGACACATCATGCTGTGAGCGCAGTGCCACTGCCTGGACCTGGGGGAGGTGACTGGGGGTGTGCAGCTCGGTGAGGGCGCAGAGCCGCATCCATGCATCACCCACTGCCCACCAAGGGAGCACAGCACAGCCCAGGCTTCCTGGGCAAAAGCATTGAGACTCACCAAAACAACCCGTTGTGGGGAGGATGTGTGGGGCTGACAGTTGGAGGGTTTGGGCTGGGCGCACTTTGGGCTGGGCACGGCCCTCTCCACACCCCCGCTCCGATCCGAGCTGGACAAAGCTATTCCTGTGCCTTTTTCCAGGAAAGAAGGGAGCATTCTGCTTGCTTTCTGGCCCTGAAATCCTGAGGACACCACATCTCTCCCAGTGCGGCTCACAGGCCCCATCACCTAACCCTTAAAACCATCACCCCGGCTAAAGCCCTGCACCTCCCTACAAGCCTGGTCTCACCAAAGGGCTGCTGCAGAGCGTGGGGTGGGGAACAGGGAGGAAGGAAAACCTGTGGGCGCGTGAGGCAACGCAGTGCTGGAGAGCTGAAAGCCGGTGCCTCCCTTCCTCTGCTGCTGCGTGCACAGACAGAGCCACAGAGCCTGGTGTCCCCATCCTGAGACAGAAGCATCTGAACACCAGGGCTGAAACTGCACCCTCAGCACCGAGAGCCCTGGCAGAGTGTGCTCCAAAGTGCCCCTCACGGCTGTCCCAGTGCTGCAAACCCAGCGATGTGCCCAGCAACCAGCTTTGTTTGAGGGCAACATCTGCATCTGGGGCTTCCCAAATGCTTCCTAAGGCAGAGGTAGAGATCCCTAATGCTGAAGCCAAGGAATCTGTCATGCCAAGAAGGCAGAGTGTGGTTAAGGGCTGCTAGCACTGTGTCCATGAAGCCCACGTGGCAGCTGTGGAGCACTGAGGAGTGCACCCCACCTGCATCCAGCTCTGGGGGGGGGGTCTCCCCCCTCTCCAATGCTGCCTGCAGGTGCTGTGCCCACCAACAGCCCCTGGATCTGCTCCGCCAAACTGATGCAACAGGCAGAAAGTGAGAAAGAGAGGAGGGTGCCCAGCAGCAGGACGGGCGTGCAGCCCTCGTCCCCCAAATACCAACATCACTTTTGGCAGCACTGAGGATTCTGCAGGACTGTGGTTTCACTTCTGCCTGGCGCTGGGCAGCAGCTGGGGGCTGTGTTGTGCTCTGGGGATGCGGATGCAGCTATGGGGGCTGCCAGGAGGGGGCTGAGGGACTCCAAGCACCTTATGGGGACCCACCGGGAGCCATCCCAGCTGCTCCCTGTGAGCACTCAAGTGCCTTCCGGACACATTTTGGTTCAGAAAACGGCACCGAGAGCTCAGGGCCTTCAGCACTGTTTACACTTGAACAGCTGCTAAGGTGGGGGAAGGAATCAAAAATACTAAAAAATGGAGCTGTTTCGCTCTATTTTTGGCTTTAGAAACCCACCGAGATCAGTGACCGGAGCCTCACCCTGCATCAAGGAGCACAACCACTCCGCTCCCGGCCCGCTGCACGGCACGGATCAACCCCGCATCACCGTTCCCCATCCCCAGCCGCGGAACCCTCCGGCGTCACTACAGCCAAACACCGGGCGCATCCCTCAGCGCGGGGCCGAGCCCCTGGCAGCCCCAGCAGCGGGGCCTCGGCTCCACGTGCCCGCCCCGCAGCGCCGCGGGGTTTAGCTCCGCCGCCGCTCCCCCTCCCGGGCTGCCGGTGCTCCCGTTCGTCTCGCACTGCCGGCCCGACCCCCACGGCCCGGCCCCACCGCCGCACCCCGCCGAGGGGAAGCACCGCCGCGCTCCGCCTTCTCCGCTCATTCCGCGCTCATCGAGGCGGGCGGTGTTGGAGCGGATCGGCCGATGCCTGATTGCACCACGACTTCCTGCTGCTCTCGGCTTCCTCTCTCGAAGGAGACGACGAGAAAAGACATTTTGTACCGGCGTTTCCCCCCGACGGCAGCGAGGGGGGGGGGATGCTCCTCCCGGCCGCATCCAGCGCCCCGCGGTTGCAGTGGGGAGGTGGGGGGCGGCGCGAGGACCCCCATTCCCGGAGATAACAGCGGGATGGGAGAAAATAAACGCCGTGTTCCGGGCCGAGGCGGCGGGGGGAGAAAGGGGGGGGGGGGAGGGCGGCTCCAAACAGCACCCGAAACAAGGAGGAGAGGGATGGAGGAATGCCCGGGGGTTTTGCATCCCACCTGGGGCCTTTGCTGTGGGGACCCGGGGGCGTGGCTGCTTCCTAAGCACCCCGGGGGGGCACGGGCGGGTGGGTGGGTGGGGACTTGAGCAGGGGACCCCCAGGGATGTGGGGGGATTGGGGTGAGGAGCTGGAAGTTCAGGGCGGCCTCAAATGAGGGCGAGGAATCACGGGGGCGGGGGCCGCGCCGGGAATGCCCGAGGGGCGTCGATGCGCACGGTGGGGGTGAGGGATGGATCGGGGGGGTATCGCGGCGGGGGACGGACGCCCGGGAGACGGCGGTCGCGCTCACCCAACAGCAGCAGCTTCACCTCCCGCGCCGCCTTCTCGCCATCCTCCCGCAGGTTGCGGTCGATCATGCGGGAGCGCTCGGCGGCCGCCTTATCCTCGGCGCTGACCGTGCAGCCCATGGCGGCGGCGCCTCGCTCCGCGCTCTGCCGGCACTGCCCTGCCCTGCGCGGCGCGGGCGGGGCGGGGCGGGGCCTCGGCGCGGGGCGGGGCTTCGACGAAGGGGCGGGGCTTATTTTGGGGGTGGGGCTTTGGGGGCAGAGGGGGTGGCGAGAGGAAGGGGAGGGGGAGGGGGGGGGGGGGGGAGGGGGGCCGGGGGGCAAGTGGGACGGGCCGGGGAGTGACGTGGATGCGCTGAGGACCGTGGTGTGACGCAGGCAGATGTGCGGTGCGCCATTGGTGTTCCCCGGGACAGATGTGCGCAGGGACACGGTGTGCGCAGGGACGCTCGTGCACCGACTGGGTTGTTCCTCGACGCAGGTGTAGCTGGGGCCCCAGTACACCCAGCACAGGCGTGCATGGAGATGCGAAGGACCCACGACAGACGTGCACGGGCTATGATGTGCCTTAGGACAGGAGGTCGTGGTTTATTCCAGCACAGATGTGCACAGGGCCACGTTCTTTCCACAGGACAGCTGTGTGACAGGCCATGGTGTGAGCAGGGCAGATGTTCAATGGGTCATGGTGTGACCAGGGCAGATGTGCAGTAAGTGGTTTCTTCAGGACAAACATGCATAGTGCCACATGCCCCAGAACAGATGAGCCCAGGGCACGGGGTGTCCGTGCTGGCTGTGCAATGGGACACAGTGTGATCAAGCTTTCCTGTCCCTGCCCTACCGTAGCTCTTCTTGTCACATCCCATCGAGCCACCACCAGTGTCCCCACTCTGCTTGGAGCACTGGCGCCAGGCTGAGCTCCCCATTGCACCCCATTTCCTAGAGCCTTCATAGAGCATTTCCTAGAGCCATGAATCTGAAACCCACTTTGTTACCATCCTTGCTGGCGGTTTGTCCCCACTCTCAGCCCCAGCATCGTCCCCAGGCCACCCTGCTACACGGCTGCAGCTCTCGGACCCCCGCCGGACGGGACACTAAACGCTCGCGGGGTGTGGACACGGGCCTGCCTCGGGAAGGAGACACGCGATACTCGTGCGAAGGGGCTCGGGGCCCCGGTCCTAACTGGGGAGTAGGAGCAGCGCATCGGATCGGTGCCCCGGGGGCACCCGAAAGCGGCCCGTTCCGCTCTCCCTCCCCACTCCTCTGCCGGCACCCGGCGGCCGTCGGCGGGGACGCAGCGCCGCCGTGTGCCCGCAGAGCCCGGCGCCATCCCCGCGTCCGCGTTGTCCCCGCGGTCCCCCCCAGCCCCGCCCCACACCGGGCACGTCTCACATTTTTATCCTTTATTGTTACTCTGACGGATCTGCTCGGTCGCGCTCCTCCTGCACGGCGCTCATCCCCACATATAACTTAACGGCGGGGGGGGGGGGGGGGCCGTGGGACAGCTCGGTGCGGGGACGTCGGGGTGACACGGCGAGAGCCTCCCCGATCCCGCACACGATGCAGATCTCCCGGGAGCCCCCCAACACATTAAAAAAGAACTACTCTTATATACAGTATTTATAAAAAGCGTCCCAGCCTCCACCACCCCCATATAAAAATACGTCTCTTATTTACTTGGCGAGCTCCCGGCCCCCCTCACCGCCTGCTCGCGTCCCCGTGGCCAGGCTCTTGGCATGGCTGGGAGCTGCCCCTGGCATGGACGGACAGACAGGTGGGTGGTGGCAGGACAGCGGGGCCGGGTTGTGCCCATCACCCTGGTGTCGGGGAGCGCACATCCCACACCCCCTCCATCTCACAGCCCAAGCGGTGCCGCCCCAGGCACCTCCGTGCCCCACACCAGCACCTCTGTGGTGCACCCACCCCAGTGCCGGTGGCACCCAGCCCTGGCACGTCTCACCTTCCCCGAGCTGGCCCCTGGATCGCCAGGTTCCCACCCGCTGGCATCGGGACCAGCCTTCCCCGGGCACCATGTGCCAGCGGGAGGGGGCAGCGAGGAACTGGCAGTCAGGGGGTGGAGACAGCGGAGCACATGGGGGTGGCACGGGCACTGCTGAGGTGCTGGCCACCAGCCCCGCAGACGCTGCCGTCAGGACTTGGGGCCGGCTGAGGACAAGTGGGTGCCTGTGGGCCACGTTGGCCACGTCCCCTTTGGCCCCCGGTGAGGTAGGGAAGCGCTGGTCTCCCATTGCACAGATGGGGAAACTGAAGCGCGGAGCCAGGAGGGGTGGGCACGGGCTGGGGTCCCCCATGTGTCCCCTCAGGCAAAAGGGCAGGCGGCGAAGGTGGGAGCCCCGTGGGGTCCTGGTGGGGATGGGGGGGGGGGGGGGAGGGGGGGGGGCCAACCAGGGTGGCTAGTGGCTGCCGCCACTCCGGCCCCCTCCTGTGGCCCAATCGGTGATGATGAAGCTGAGGCTCATGATCATGAAGAGCACCCCGAGGAGGGCGAAGCAGGCAGCCTGAGGGAGACAGAGCACAGGGTGGGGGGCTACCCACTGCCCCACTGCCCCATGGGGAGCAGGAGGGGCCGGAGTGCCCCCACTGAGAACCCAGGAGACCCCATCCCTCCCTTTCCCCTGTGCCTTTATCCCCACACCCCCCATTTCACCCCTCAGGAACAGCAGTGCAGTCCCCATAGCCTGGGGTGGAGGCCTAGGGCTTACCAGGATTTTGGGGGTGGAGCGCAGGGGCTCCTTGTCCTTGGGACTGATGCGGATGTAGAAGATGGCCGGGAAGATGAAGATGAGGCAGGGGGCAGAGGTGGCACCTAAAGCAGGAAGGGATGAGTGGGTAGAGTGAGCCCTGGGGGACAGCTGGGTGACAGGGACGGGGCAGCACTGCCACTCACCAATCAACCCGAAGATGCCGAGGATGGAGGGGGCAAAAATGACCAGAAGGTTGATGAAGGTCAGCAGGATCACGGCGATGGCAACGTGGCGGATCCAGCTGAAGTTCTTGCCTTGGAACAGCATCTGCTGGATAGCACGGCGCACCTGGGGACGGGGACAGGGACATGTCACACACTGTCCTCAGAGCCTCCCATCCCTGCAGGGCTATCGGTGCCTCTTAGACCTTCCCATCCCCATCCTGTCCCCAGGGCACCGTCCCACTGCTGCCTCAGTTTCCCCTTTCACTGCTTGGAGATGAGCAGAGCTGGCAACAGGGTGACCCATGTGTGCCCCCAAGGGGACACTCACCGGGAAGAGGACGATGGGGACAGTGAGTGTCACAGCTGTCAGCACAGCCACCCGCACGCAGAGGATCAGCACGTCAAAGGGGTCCACCCGGCTGTAGGTGTGCAGCAGCTCTGACTCCACGCGCCCTGCAGCACCAGGGATGTGGGTCAGCACCTGTGCCACCGCCTCCCCATGGTTGTCCCCACCGCGTCCCCACGCCCCTGTCCCCACAGCTCACCGTAGAACGTGAGGTAGCCAAAGAGGGCTGCCAGGAAGTACATGAGGTACATGACGGTGATGGAGATGTTGGAGATGCACTGCATCTTCTTCTTGGAGGGGCTGCAGGAAATGAGTGTCAGCACGGCCCTCCCACTCGCCACCCCCCTGCCTCACCACCACTCACTCCTTCAGCTCCGTGTAGATGGGCAGCACCTCAGGGTGACACACGAAGGCGAAGGCCATGATGGGGATGGTGTACGCTGTCTGCAGAACGTGCAAATGAATGCTGGGAACCCATTGCCCGTGCCTCCTGGGAGCCCTCACCGTGGAACAAAACCTACCTGGGAGTTGAGGGTGAAGAAGCTGGGGGTGCAGGCCCCCACCTCAGTGGGCAGTGGGGCTGCGGGGCCATCCCAGTGCTCGCCGCCCAGAGTGACATTAGTGCCACTGCTGATGTTCCCCCCTTGCTCAGGCAGCGGGCAGGGGATTTGGAATTTCTTGTAGATGACCTGGGGGGGGACGCTCTGTCAGTGGGGGGCTCTGGGTGCCCCCTCACACAGCGACATCCCCGCCCTGTGCTCACCGAGATGAGGAAGAAGACCATGCAGCTGAGTGAGAAGCCACTGGCGTAGCCCAGGTAGCCTGGGGGGAGAGGAGAGCAATGGGCACAGCCCCCTGCAGTCCCATGTCCACCCACGCCCCCACTTACCCAGCTGCTTCATCAGAGCCAGAGGCAGGATGATGGTGACAGAGACCAGGATTACCAGGTAGTTCCCATTCAGGTACCAATCCCTGGAAGCAGAGACAAGGGCATGCTCATACCCGATGTAAAGTGGGAGCTTCGGAGGACCCCTGTACCCTCTGCAGGGCTGGCACCCCTGAAATCCTTGGCCTGGCACTCCTGGTCCCCTGAGCCAGTGTGCCCAGGGATGTAGGCATCCCTTTAGGCCATGGAGCATCCCTGGGGACATGTGAGATGGCATCTCCAGGCGATTGAGATGGCATAATCTGGTACTGGACCTCTCTGCTATGGGACCCCAAGGCCAGCATCTCTGCACCTCTGAGCAGATGTTCCAGGGAAGGGGCATCTCCTGAAGCTGCAGAGATCTCTGTGTTCACACCCCCAGGGTCCTCTGGTGCCAGCATGCCTGGGATCCCCATGCCAGCACCTCTGGGGCAATGTGCCCTGCAGGAGGAGGAACAGGTGGGCTGATCCCAGCAGGAAGTGAGGGGCAGGGATTGGAAGTTCATCCCGGACTAATCCCGCCTGGGGGCTTATTCAGCACTGACAGTGATCAAAAATAGCAGTGGCTTTAATGCCATTAATCCCTGCCAGAGGCTGCACAGCTGGAGCAGAATCCAGGGCGTGTGGGGCAGGGATGTGATGGGAGGAGGACGGGGTGGGTGACACTCACGTGGTCTTCTCCTCCAGGTTGAGGAAGGTCTGGATGACCAGCGGCACCTCAGACTTGACGATGTACAGGTAGCTGGACATGGCTGCGGGCAGAGGAGGGCAGCGTGGTGGGGGGCTGCCACACATCCCCATATCTCCTCCACATCTCACACCTTGTTCTCACCTCCAATGTTCTGCAGAGTGATGGCGATGGCCGCAGCCAGCTTGCCTGGTGTGCCGAAGGCTCGGAAACCTAACTGCTCATAGGCACGGATGCCTGTGGGATGGGGACACAGGGGTGAGGGCTGGGA